ATCGTACCCAATGTTTCATTATCCCTAATCCCACCTTTAAACCCTTGATTATTGATTTCTCACATACGTCGGGAGTGATGTTGTTCAACAACTACCTAAATATGCACTCTCTCCCGAATAATACACACTAAATAGGCATAGTCAATTGAGAGCTCTTCAACCAACCACAATATAAATGTAGTTGAACAAATAGAGAAAAGCTACGGCTCAATTATATAAAAACATAACTAGAATTTATCCTACAAAAGGTTCTATCAAAACTCTAGATAACAAATTAGCTATTCATAATAGTATGTAAAACTACAATACTAAAAGTCATAACCAACAATGAAAACTAGGAAGAGGAAGGAAAAACTCGTAGAAGAATTCCACGCCTTGCTCCTATTGTGTCTCTGCCTCCTTAGGTCCAATCTGTGTCAAAAGTATGTCCAACCCCCTCAAAATAGCGTCTTTACATGTATTTATACCAAGTAGGGTCGGGCTCAGACGAAAATACCTTCTCTCGTGCGAAATAGGACAATCACTCTGTAAAATTTGCACTACCGCACCGCATGGGGCGACGCACCATGCGGGGCGGCAATGGGAAAGTTTAGATTGCTGATTCTAACCGGCTACAGGAATTTTCCACAGGCGCGGCGCACTGCGCGGCGCACCACGCATCGCGGTATTTGTAATTTGCAAAAATGCAAAACATGAAAGTTGTAGCCCTTTCAAATAGCATTCCAACGATATATTGTGGAGCATAAACGGAGTTCTGAGCGAAAAGTTATGTATATTTTACTAGACAATGCACAATATGTCCCCTTGATTCTCCATTTCGTTCTTAACTATCATCCGTTCATCCTCGAACACGATCCTGGCTTAATTCCTTGGGCTTTTACTCAGACTTCAAAGCTTCAAATCACTTGAATTCATTTCATAACATCTACATAGCTCGAAATCCCTCCTATAAGGCATAAAACACATAATTAGTGCAAAACACTAGCGATTAAAGCTCAAACTCAATTAAAGTGCAGTAAATTAGAGTGCGATAAACAACTAAAATACGTAATTATAGCCCTATAATCAACAAGCTTACTATAGTTATCGTGATTTTTTGGATGTCGTGCATTACAATAACTGTTGGTTTAGTTAATACAGTAACAAGAAAAATAAGTAGATAAATATGAAGCTTGATCTTTAAAACAAATCGGGGATAGCACAGTTGGGAGAGCGTCAGACTGAAGATCTGAATGTCACGTGTTCGATCCGCGTTCATCGCATTTTTACCTTTACTTTTGAACCTTGGTTATGTTTTAGTCTTGGCACTAAAGGGACTCATGAATTTAAATCCATAGACTAGAACGTAAATTTATGCTAAAAAATTCTTTTCCACCGATTTTCACATGTTCATGAATAGGCTAATTCCGGATCTCTCTCTCTCTCTCTCTCTCCTATTTATGAAGCTTGTCCATGAACAGTATGGCTGTGTGCATTCTAGTAACAATTCCAGCTGGTTGCTTTAAAATTAATATTGCGAGGAACATGAAAATTAATGTGCCAAGGACTTTTATTTCAACAAATTAGTGAGGATTTCTATCAGACTATTTGATTCTCCCTTTGAAAAAGAAAACACGATTTTCTTCCTCCAAAGTTGTTAATATATGGGTAAATAAAGGCAGTTCAAAGGGTAAATAAAGGCAGTTCAAATTGTATTCCCACCTGACGTCGGTATCAGAGCACACGGTAGAAGCAGAGGCGGATCCATGATTTTGAGATCATGGGTGCACTACCAGCTTTAACGTAAATTTGGTGTTTACAAAAAGTGTCAAAAAAAATTGGCCAATAATGTCAATTGATGTGAGAACATTTAGTATTTTATGACTTATTATCAATTTTAAATAGTATTATTTAAAGAGACAACTTATACAATTCTTAAATAATTCAGTTCTTATCTTCTACATTCAAAACAAAGAAGGAAAATAAAATGTTATTGATAATTTAATACCGTAAAATTTGAAATTTGTGCAAATTTTAGTGCAAAATGAAGCACAAAAAAATAAGGGAGTAGTGAATAGAAAGAAAGAAACGGACAGAAACAAATGAAAGAAAGGAAAAAACGGAAGGAAACAAATGAAAGAAAAAAAAGAGAAAACTACCTTGTATGGCCGTCGGAAAAAATTATTAGCCCAAAGTTTTGCACGTAGCCCGAAATGTTTAGTCAGATAAAATTAATATCAAATTATAGCCCATCGAATAAAACCAACAGACAAAGACAAAAGTAAATTTTGGTACAACTTTTTTATCTTCCCTAAATATTTTTCCTTCCCAACACCAAATTATTTTCTCTTTCTTACATATCACACTTGATTTTTTCCTCTTTCTATTATTTTTTTTTCAATTCTTTTAATTCTTACACCTTTTTCTCTCTCTTACNTATATATATAATCCTAGGTTTGACAGTGTATTCTTAGTGTATATTGAGCCTATCTCGAGTGTACTTATGTATCTAAAGTGTATATTTAGTGTATCCCAAGTGTATTTTGTATCATGAGTGTATAATCTTTTTTAACAATGTATCAAAATTGTATATACATGTGTATTGTCTAATATATAAACATAGTGTATATAAATTATATACACATTTTGTATGTGTAATGTGTTCACATCGTTTATTTAGAGTGTATCATGTATTTGAAATGTATTCCCAATGTACCATTAATGTATTCCGAGTGCTTTTGTATATTCAAAATGTATAGTAACAGTCTATTTTGTATAGTTATATCTATTTTGTATATTTTTGTATAGTGATAGTCTTTTTTGTATATATATTTGTATAGTGATATCTATTTCATATATTTTTTGTATAGTTACAGTCTATTTTGTATATATTTTGTATATTGACAGTCTATTATGTATATTGTTTATATAGTGACAGCCTATTTAGTATATAAATTGTATAGTGATAGTCTATTTTGTGTATTTTTTGTAGTGACAATCTATTTGTATATTTATTTTGTATAGTGAGAGCTTTTTTGTATATTGAATGACTACACGTTTGTAAAACCAGACATTACATAATTGATCCATAGCCTACATTAATCCATGCTTTCCCCTTACTCTGCCACCTACTTAGGGCCCATTTGGATTGCCTTAAAAAAAGTAGCTTTTAAGTACACGGTTTAAAAGCATTTTTTAAGTGCTGGAGCTGGTTTTATAAATAAGCAGTTACGTGTTTGGATAAAATTGTTGGAGCTGAAAAAAACCATTGAAGTGTTTGGTAAACAAGGGTTAGTGAGCATTTTTTTTGTTAAAATTACTGAAATATCCTGAAAGCTGTTAAACTTATAAAGAAACTTATTAATATAATGTTTTATTTTAAATAATATAAATACATAATAATTAATGTTTTAATTCACTTTCAATTTAAAAACTAAAAGTAGTATGAAGAAAGCAATTGAAAATTAACCCAATTTCTGTACGAAGAAAGCAAACAAAAATAATAATTAATATTTTAAAGAAAATTAATAAAAAACAAAAAATGGGAAGCAAACAAGTCTGGAGAATAATGGGAAAGAAAACAACAATTTCAAGTTTTGTATAAAAAAAGTTGGATTTACCCAATTTGTTGGTTTTGGCTTTTTTAAGCAGATTTTAGCTTTTTTAAGTCATTTTAGGAATTGCCAAACACTTCCAAATGTTAAAAAGTGCTTAAAAGCTGGTTTGACCAATTTTTAAGCCCATCCAAACAGTTTCTCTTTCAAAACATTTTGAAATTATTAGTTGTACTTCCTATGCATCCCTATTTTCTGTGGTACAAAGATTGTCATGTTTGAAAAGCTACTTAATTTTATTAACCTCATTTTATCATTAATGATATAATTTAAAAGTTCATCTTCTTATGAGGGGCGAGAAATAAGAAAAGACATGCAAAACTCTTAGAAGTTACCCCAAGTCCTAACTCATTTAATTGTTGGAACTTGGTATTATAATCTTCTATATATATATATATTATTGATGTGTCAAAATTTTTCCTCTATATTTAATTCCGTGTCCGATTACAGATCACTACATAAAGTGAGTAGGGAGGACGTAAAAATATTAATATTTTATTGTACTTGTTTAGTCGTCTATAAAACAAAACCCCACCAACTTGGCGATCTTTTATGAATGTTTGTTGGACTTGGCGCAAGTATACTTATTATTGTGAAGTAGATAGAAGAGAGGAAAATCCCTCAATGTTTGCTGTTTTTGCAGTAAACCAAGTATACTTATTATTGTGAAGTAAACCAAACAATTTACTTCGAATTTCTCTAAGTAGGTGGCAAAGTAAGGGAAGATATAGATTAAAGTAGGTTACGGAATTGAAAAGTTTAAAATTTGAAGGGAAGAGTGGCAGTGGTTTTGGGCTAACTCTTGTAATTGGTTTTGGGCTATTAATTTTTTGGTTTATCTTGTGGCTACCTATTGTCACTAATTTTTTCCGAATGGCTACAAATGAAGTTTGCTCTAGAAAAAACAGAAAGAAAAGTGTAGCACGAGGTGGTCCAAGGGGATTTGATCCCTTGTTCTTGGGGAAATAAAACTACCATCCAGCCAGTGCACCACTCAGCAATATAGAGCATGGGTTCCTAAAGTCAATATTAGCCCATTTGTGTAAATTATGTACGTGAAAAAACTGATTTGCTGGGAAGATCATGGGTTCACGTGAACCCCAATTTATAGGGTAGATCTGCCCCTGGGTAGAAGATGAGCTTAAGAGAAAACTGCAATTCCAAGGACACGCAAATTCGCACTCAATTAAAAAAACCAATTGCCTTTGCGTCGGCTGTTCTTTTTACGCACAGATCTCCTAGGGTCAACGACGCGCTCCTCTATCCTCCTAGGGGTTCGTACCTTCAGCACGGCTTTAGAATTATCTGTCTCAGCTCTTTAGAATCATTTATAAATTATCAACATGCATCCAATCTTCCTACCTAATTCTACGAGAGCTATACTGAGAAACCAGAATACAAGTCCAATCAAGGGTAAACGAAACATAACTCGGTACGTCCTATTCTTTCTAGATGTCGAAACAACATAGAAAAACCAGTAACTCAGAACTTGAAATTTTCTATAAACTCGTTACAGTACAGGAAAATCAAAAAAGGTAAGTCTATCAGTTCAGTTTGTCTTAGACGAATTCTCAATCAGTTGACACCCAATTCTCTTGAGAGGAAAACGGGATATTGAAATTCTCTACCCTTCCTTGCGGACAAAGTACAGCTTACCCATGACATGGAGGAGTGCAACAAAAGCTATGAAACCAATGCTCATCACAAGCACAACATTAGGAGAAATCTTGAGTCCTGGGGAATCGTCAGTGTAGAACTGAAGCATAGTACCACCGGCTCCTCCAGCAGCTCCACCACTAGTTGTCCTCCTGCGCCGTAGGTTGGCAGCAGAGGCTGCAGCAGTACCTCTCTGTGGACCACCTCCACCCAATGCCATTTCTAATCATCATGTTGAAAAAAAAAAGAAGCAAAAACTTTAGATGAGGTACAAAACAGAGGATCTCGGAATGCACTCAACAGGTCAGTAATGCAAATGCTCAAACCCAGGGAATAAGCAAGAAAAATAATTAAGTAATAATAACATAAAACAAGCATAATCAATTGATAAGCAGAAATTTACAATACAGGCACTCATGCGTTGTTAAATTCCTCCTTAAACATGTTACAAGCATTACCGTGTAACTTTATCCAATTGAAGAGTTCAGAAATCAATGGATTAAAAACTATTCCTTTGACCAAATTAAACTATCCTAGTTTGCCTTTTATGGTCTATTACATTGAATCACCATACATCAATCTCAAACTGCTGGTATTTGAAGAATAAAACTTAAATATTTGGTCATTTGTATATGGTTAAATACTTATCTAGCATTTTTTGAATCTCAAAGGATACGGAAAATATTACTCCTAAAGTGCAGACAATTTGACTAGAAGAGACAAATTAGGACTCTTAATTAGGAAGAGAAGGTACTAAAATTAGGAGGAATGCTTAAGATATTATGCGTATCAAATTTCGATACAACAAAAATTGTCTATTGGTTCTACACTGAAGCTAACACATTCATATATGAGTTTCAGTTATCCTATACAATGTTTTAAACCATCATCTTCACCATTTATTTAGAGAAAGTTCATTGGCCATTCAACACTGTTGCCCCGTATTGGCATTTCCTAGTACACAGGGAAACTGATTAGGCAATAATTCTGCCTCGTATAGGCATTTCCTGGTCTCACTTAGTTCTAGGAGTTCTATTCAGTGGTTTTAATGAACAACATGCTATAGTTTACAAGCCCAACCTGCCTACCAAAGCTAAAGCAGATGAGCTCACATTAAGTGTTGGAATTTGAACCTGAGATCACTAAATTGTTACTTCTACACCTTAACTACTCAACCATCAACCATCCCTTCAGTAATAAGAGTGTTTAAACTTTAATTTTTATAATGAACATGATTTTTCTTGAAATCCTAGTATACTCATGCTTTACGAGCCATATGCAAAACTACTAATAAATATACAAGTCAAACATCCAAAGTGAATATTTAAGAAAGAAAGTAATGGCCGTTTGCAGGAGCTACTAAATTCATAACATCTAGTTAAGTGAAAACCCCACTGCATATATGTCTTTCACCATTACCCTGTCGAGGTGCGCGCAAGCTGGCCCAGATACCACGGTTATCAAAAAAGAAAATGCCTTTCACCATCTTATATCCGTCACTTATGGAAGCATTTGTTTCTTTAATACAAATGATAGACAGAGGCAACTCTAGGATTTAAACTATATGACTCAATCTTTAAAATTCTTAGTATTGAATCCATTACGTTTTTAAAGCTATGAGTTCATATCTACTATTTGTTGCACTTTGAGTGGAGTTTTACACATATATTTATGTTCCACGTCGAAAGTTATGGGTTCAATTGAACCCGTCCCTGTAATGCTACATCCGCATAGAGCTAGAGCACCTTATATATCCACAATCAGGATATAGTAACCATTCAGCATTACAGTGTAAGGGAATTAATGTTAATAATTTGACTCTTTTGCCTCAAATAAGAAACCGATTACATCGCCAACTAAAGTAATTAGCTAATCTTATTCTATATCTCCGTCAAAGGTTAATTAATTTCTGGGGGGAAAATCTAAATATTAAATAAAGCCCTCGCTGCTCCACAAGTATGAAATCTTATAACAAATAAAAGAATCATACGATCTGCAATTCAGTTTTTAGAGATCCTCCAAATTTCAATCTCAGTCAAACATTAATTACTCGAATTTACAACTATCGCAAACAGAAAAAACTCAAATTTTCACCACTCACATGCACACATATAAGAAACTATTCAAGCATATATAGGTAGATAAATATAAATCTGCATGTGAAAAAGAAGAAGAAGATAAATCTGCATGAAAAATCAGCAGAAAAAATAAGAAAATTCAAAATTACAATTGAGAGAGATTAGAGAGGAGAAACTAACTTTTAGATTTTTGGAGATGTTTTAGATCTGTATCTCCGATGTAGTATTAGGTTTGTAGAGAGAGAGAGAGAGAGAGACAAAAATGGAAGAGAAAGTTTTGACCCTTCTTTTGTAAAGGGTTTGGTTCAATCTTGAGTCGTTATGTTAAGAGGAAGCCACATAGAAGATGCCAATCATCTCGTGACACGTATATCACACGGAAATGAAAAATCACACGTCTGATATGTGTGAAAGCTGAAGACGAAACTGTAACAAACTGGATTTAAAAATTTACGCAAAGCCCGCGACTTAAGGAAAATAAATTAGGGACAAGAATCAAGAAATACTTCGAGTTGTCCTCATAAAATTTATTAATAAAATATATTTTTATTAGATTTGTTAATTGCGCACTCCTTTTTTTTTTTAATTATGTGGTATGGTTTAATTATAAATTAAATTTAAGAAAGAAAATTTTTTGATACTTGAAATCTCAAATGTGTCATGATATATGTAGTTCGGTAAGATATTTAAGAATTTCAATTTAGTACTTCAGTATTCGGTCTATCAATTATACACAATAAAGTAATTCGTTACGGTTCACTATAATTTTAATATAAGTTTATCAATTTGCATAACAATTGCTGCTGCGTTTTCAACTCTTCATACAACAAATCAGCGGGACAGCAACAAAACCAAATATCAATTTGAATCTCAATCACTAATACAAACACGATGACAAAATTGAATTCAGATCATCATGAAAAGCAAATTACATTCTGGAGAGCAATTCAAACTGCCAACCTCAGGAAGTAAATCAGCACTCAATATCACGAGACCTAAATAAGATTTGGCACTCAACTCTATCAAGGCGGCCAATTATAGATGGTTACACATCTTCGGATAAATTTCACAAATAATCATATAACTATGATTTTTTTTCCATTTAAGTCATAGAACTACGTTTTCTCATACAAAAATCATAAAACTTTTATTAACTCGCAAAAAATATCATAATGACCGAAAATATAACTTTTTAGTACTCCAGTATTTTCTTATTTCACTATTTTTTTATTTTTTATATTTAGTCTAATAAATAATAATCCAATCAAAATAGGAACGACCCAACCCAGTAACCACATATATTAATTAAAATAATACTGAAAGTGAATCCTTCAAAACAAGATATTTTTATCTTTATTTTTCTTTTCAAGATTTTTATTCAAATGGATAGCATTTTTTTTCAAGTGCTCTCTAATTATACCTTCTTCTTTTTCAGAATCCCATACATTCCAAACTAAGTTTGTTGTAGGGGAAGGATTCTGTATACAGTAAAAATCGGGCCCACCCGATTTCACAAATTAACCGGGACCAGGGGGATAGGTCGAGGATCTGCCCCGTAGTATGTCAGATCGAGACATGATGATAAAGTATTGAGTTCAGGATTCGAAGTACCTGTCAAGATCGAGACCGGTGATGATCGAGACCAAACGGGATAGGCGTCGAGCGAGACCGAAGATAGCATAATAACAGAAATGCGAGATATCCGTGACGGGTCGAGAATCATGACGGAGATCCCGGAACAGATCAAATCAAAAACGGTTATTTAGCTAATCATGGAATTTTTTCTGTATTTAGAATTATACAATAGATAGGATTCCTCTACTATATAAAGAGGGTCTTAATCATTTGTAATGATCTGACATTCACGCATATCAAAACAATATATCACATTTTTATCTCTTGCAAGCTCCGTTGCTCAGTTAATACTTTCAATAGCTTTGTTCAGTTGGTTCTAATGCAATTAGCCCAAGGGCCATAATTGTTCATCACATTATGATAGGTTACAAGTACCTTGGTCATAAGTATTTATTTTATGTTTTGATGATCTAACGAACTTACTATCTAGAACAAGATATGGAACCTGTTACACATTTACAAGACCTTAAGATCACAAGGTTCCAGTTTGGGTTATGGTTCAACTCCTCAGACTAGAAGGAACAACTGAGGGAACAAGTCCCTACCAGTTCCCGAGGTGACTGTACGAAGTCAACTCTCTAGCTAGAAAAGTTGCTGCCTGCACACGCTACAGTACATGAACAGTGCAGCAGTCAACTTTTTTGTGGAAGACTATTTACCTACCTTGCTTACATCATTATAAGTGATGTCATACATGTATTAATATAATCAAGGAAGGTAAAACACTTCACTTGAACACTTGGAATTTTCACTCAAGCTCTCTCAAGTGATCATCCAGCAAGAAACTCTCAAGTGCTTCAAGAACAAAGAACAAAACAACTGCGGTCCAGTTCCCACATCGAGTTATTGTATGTCCTTAGTTGAGTTGTAACTTTGTTAATGTTATTACTTGTAACTCCTACTTAGCTTACTAAGAAGCAATATGTAGGAAACCCTTTGTAAATCTTAAAACTTCATGTTTGAGTCTTGGCTAGAGTTAGTCGAGTTATAAAAGTCTTTGTAATAGAGTTATTACAAAGTGTCTTGTAATAGAGTATTACAAGTTAGTGTGGGATTAAGAGGTTAATTCCTAGGTTGCATAGGTTGTAATCTAAAAGTTGCTCAGTAGTGAAGTTAAAATCCTACAAGGGTAGGTCGTGGTTTTTAATCCAGTTGAGCTGAGAATTTTTCACGTAAAATTCCTCTTGTCAATTATTTACTGCGGTGTGTGTGTTCTGTTGAACCTGATAGAGAACCTGGTTCTCTATAGAGTTTGGTGGACCCTCATATTCTATCAATTGGTATCAGAGCAGGTTCTTTCTATCAGGTTAACACCTAGAAAGGATCCTCATAGCTGCTCCTCCAAACTTTGAAGAAGTCCAGTCTACTAACAGACCACCTAGGTTCAATGGACAGTATTATGGATGGTGGAAAATTAGGATGCACGAATTCATCATGGCTGAAGATTCTAAGTTATGAGATGCCATATGTGACGGACCCTTTGTCTCTACCAAGAACCTTGGTGACTCAGCTGTATCCATTCCCAAGACGAGGAAGGAATTCAATGATGCTGATCGAAAGGCCATAAAGAAGAACTTTCGTGCAAAGAAAATTCTCGTTTGTGGGATAGGTTTTGATGAATACAACAGGATATTGGCATATCAATCAGTAAAAGAAATATGGGAAGCCTTGTAGACAGCTCACAAGGGAACAACACAGGTGAAGCAATCCAAAATTGACATGCTCACCACTGAATATGAGCTCTTCAGAATGAAGGATGACGAATCCATCCAAGATAAGCACTCTCGATTCACCTCTATCATTAATGAGCTTCATTCTCTCGATGAAATCATTCCTAAAAACAAGCTCATCAGAAAAATCCTTAGTGTACTGCCCAATTCTTGGGAAGCAAAGTAAACGCCATCACAGAGGCGAAGGACTTGCATACACTGACCATGGATGAACTTGTTGGAAACTTGAAAACTTATGAGATGAAGAAGAAGAAGGACAATGAAATAAGATAGCCCAAAAGAGAGAAGAACCTGGTCCTCAAGACAGACATCAATGACTCAAGTGGTGAAGATGGTGATATGGCTTACTTGACAAGAAGATTCTAGAAGATGGTTCACAGGAATGGAGGCATTCCAAAAAAGGGAAGTTCTAGCAAGCCAAGAAATTGTGACCTCTGTCATAAATGTGGCAAGCTAGGACACTTCATCAAGGATTGTCCTCTCCTAAAGCAAGACCAGTACAACAACAACTTTGACAAAGCAGCTAAGAGGAACCCGGTTCCTGATAAATGCTTCAAGAGAAAAAATGATGCTGATAATGTTGTAAGCAAGCTCTAGTTGTATGGGGAGACTCCTCCAGCGAATCTGAAGAAGAAAACGATCATGGTGGTAGTTCAATGATGGCAGTGGAAAATGAAGCAACTGAGTATGATTCAATCTTTGATATAATGGATCAATCTGATGACGATGAAGATGACGACGGTGATGAAGTAAATTTTCTGGATGTTCAGAGAAATTTGAAATCTTACTCCCCTAAAAAGCTCATGTCATTAGCAAATGTATTAATTGATGCTTACCATAGTCTTATAAATGACAAAGTTTCATTGACTATGGACTTAGGGGAAGTTGAACAAACCAGAGATGACCTAGTAGTCGTTGTAGTTTATTTGAAAGAAACAATAAGGAACTTGAACAAAGAAAGGGATTCCTTAGACGAGAAAATTGCCAGTATAGAACATGAAAGAGATGACCTAATGGTTGTTGTGGTTAACCTAAAAGAAACCACTGAGTGTGTATGTAAAGAAAAAGATTTTTTAGCTGAGAGAGTTGCTATCATTGAGCAAGAGACAGATGACCTAGTAGTGGTGGTAGTAGACTTGAAGGAGACAATTGAGGAACTCAAAATGGAAGGTAGGCCTGGAAACTCTGTAAAAGGAAAGGAAGTTGCGAGTAAGGCACACATTAAGCTTGAAAATGAGTTAAATTTGGTGAAGACCAATCTGTTTGTTGAGCTTGAGAAAAACAAACAGCTTCAGGAAGACCTAGGGAAAGTGAAGAGTGATCTTCAAAAATCGCTTAAGTGAACCTGGTCCTCTGATGCTGTCACTGCCATGTACACCAACAATGGGGAAAATAGGCAGGGGATTGGGTTTCAAAGGGAAAAGATTCCCTACAACCCTCATAGCAAGTATGTTATGGTACCGGACAGTTGTCTATGTACACACTATGGTAACAATGGGCACCTCAAGGAAAACTGCATGGACAGGGTTCAGTCTCATCGGAAAAATAAAGTTCTTGCTGAGAAAGTAACTACTGCTAGAGGACCTGGTCCGTCAAATAGGAAATGCATACCACCTGCTTGGATTAAAAGAGCACTCATTCATCCCTTACCTCATTACAAGGAACCCAAACTCGTTTGGGTTCCTAAATCTAACCCTTGATTTTCTTGTGCAGGGAGCAGTGAAGGGGATCAGCCAACAATGATATATGGATAGCGGCTGCTCAAAGCACATGACTGGAAATACGATCAATTTTCCCTCACTGATAACCCTGCAAAGAGAGAGTGTGCCCTTTGGAAATAGCTAAAAGGTACACTTTAAGAGTTGTAAGCTATGTGACGAGGGAAATAAAGTGGAATTATTGTCCAAGATATGCACAACCACAAATCTTGTGACTGGTAAGG